AATTATACACTTGTAATTCTATTAAAAATATTCTTATATTTAATTAAATATTGCTTAACTTGATTATTTGTTTTGGTAATTTAAATCGTTGTTTTTTTTAAAAAAAAATTACTATTAAAAGTTTGGACACCCTTCATGAAATTCCTGGCTACGCCACTATTTTTTACTGAAGAAATCTTAGCATCACCAAATCTAATTCCTCCATCCCATCTCTCAAGTCTCCACCACTCCATCTCAGGTATAATTTTATTAGTTATAGTCGAAGTCTGCGATCATCTCATTTAAAACATATTTTAAATTATTTATGTAGGGATAATAGCATGTTTAGTCCTTCAATTATTTGTAAATTCTGATTTTGGTCTATTTGAGTAAACACATTCAAGCAGATGAACTCACTCTAGGAATTTGGTGTAGAGTTTATTAAATCCTATCTCTCCATAGACAAACATGTTGGTTTGTCAAAGTAAACACGATGATGATGAATACACAAAAAATGATGACAACGATATGCTCACAAATCTTCCCAAAGAAAAAGGTTGGAGAACTGAGCATCTTTACCAATATAAGTCCTTTTGGCTTACTTTGGGAGCACTTGAAGGAATTAAGAGGACGCAACAATGTTTCAAAGCTCAACCCACAGATATTTTTCTAGTTACTTCATCAAAATCAGGAACAACATGGTTCAAGTCCCTTATTTATGCCATAATAAATCGTGATCGATTTGATATCTCCTCTCACCCTTTACTTACCAAGGGCCCTCATGATCGCGTTCCTTTCTTGGAAGCCATCATACAAAATGAAGATTCCTACAATGATTATCGAACTCCACTTTTTGCAACACACATTCCTTATGTCTATCCTCCCCAGACATCACTTACCGTTGTTACCAATAACATCTGTAATGTCTTCTTGTTGTAAACTTATTTACTTCAAATAAAGTACTCTATCTTGTTTCAGTTTCACTAAAGTTCAAACTTTATTTGTATGCAAATGTTGTAATTGTTGGTATTGAGGCTTTTCAACAACAACGTTTTTTATGGATATTATTATTAACATATAGCACTAAGGTCATCTCTAATCATACACTATATTTTACTACACATATTTTTGATGTAAAATTTAATTTTTTTGACACTATTTTATAGTATCATTTTAGTATGTGTGACATTATGGTCATCTAACATCAAATTATTTCCTCTATCATGAACAAGAATAGGTCCATGCCTCTATTGTGTACCCCATTTTATGAGGACAACATTCTCATCAAAGCGTAATCTTGTGGTGGCCACTTCCACTATCCCAACCCTTGTAGTTTGTATGAATTATTAAAATTCTTTTCTAAAAATTATAAATTTTTAATATTCTTTTTAAATAGATAAATCATCTCCATTTTTTATGACCAATTAAAATGAAAAATGTGGCCCATAAAATGGATAAAGATGTTAGAGTGGGTAAAAGCCCTACATTTGATAGGGAATGGACGGATGGTTTTTGACTTGGACAATCTTCCCCTCATGAACTAGCTTTTGGAGTTGAATTAGACCCAAATGTCATATTTTTACAAGAGAAAATATCATTTTGGCAGACCCCAAAAAAGTCTAGTCTATCTCGAACACCATTTGTTTTTACGTCTAATCTCACAAGTTAAGTCTCTAACTAATATTGAATAGCACTTATCATGCAATCTTTATTGGTACCAACTCAAGACATGATAATAGAGATCCATTCAATTATTGGCCTTTGTGTTATATATTTACGTACCAAATTTTCAATTGTGAAATCCTTGGAATTTTGGGCGTTCATATTGATTAAAATATGAGTTGTTATCACATTATATAGCCTCTACATCTTCTCTAATATAATTAAAATGTGTGGCAATTTTTTTAATTTAAGATACAAGTGGCTTTTACTTTTGTTATATAAATTTTAAGAAATACAGAATGAATTAGTCTCCATCTTAACCATTATTCCAATCAAAGGATGATTTGAGCATATGCTAAATGGGAATGAGATCGAAGGAATTTCAACATTTGAAAAGTACACCCAAAAAAATTCAGACGTTAATATTTTCAATCAACTTTTAGTCACTTGATTTAGTGGTGATATTTTTGTTCTTTGATTCAATTATCTTATGATTCGATTTAATTCTTCATTAGTGCATACCATACCAAATCAAAAGTAGTTCGATTTGATTCGATTATACAACATGTAACTATCATATAGTTATATCAAATTGAATTATTCATTTCTTCCATTTGTAGATTACTTGTATGCACCACTTTGTTTTTTTTTAAATGTAAACATTCCAAGTTACATGGTTTCCAGTCTAATTTGTGAGCCAATAAAGAAAGAAAGTCGACATGTTTGATTTTTTTTATTTTTTTATTTTTGGACTCGTGTTATTATTATAAAACATTAGAATAGCTAATCAGTTGGAATGTGACAATTTAGCAGATACAGTTTATTTATTTATTGGGATAGAAAATAGGAGCTACCTACAAAATAAAACTAAAAATATACTCCAAATATCTGGTGTTTGTGGATATTGTTTGCCAAATTTCTAGTTTTGAACTTTAATTTGTAAGTATTTAATCTGAATTTTTTATTGCATAAAGCTTGTAAGGTTGAAAGTGAAAGAACATAAACGATTACCGCCAAAGATTGGTGGGCCGTATTTATCCTTTATTTTTAATTAATATATATATTTTTTAAAATTTGACGAATTAATCAAATCTCAAAATGAATAAAATAGAGTTTTCTTCCTTTTTATTATCTTAGATATTTCTTTTACGCATAAAGATATTTAATGAATAAGTACGTCTGAAGAAAAGATTGTGAATTTGTTTGAAGTTTCAAATTGAGAGGTGGTAAGCCAAAATAATACATACAAAAATTATAATATGTGATTCTTTTACTACTATAAGGACTATAATTTTATTGATAAATAATATGGATACGATTTTGTTTTTTTTTCCCTCTTCTAAACTTTTTTCATGATTTAAGAGTTTAAACAATGAAATTTCTACCCCTACACAAACATGAAAAGACATCAAAATAATTCTTAATCGAGTGAATTGTACATCATAATCCAATTTCCTCGGAGCATCGTAGCCTAGTTGATAGATCACTATCTATATAAAATTACACTCAACCTGAAATCATTCAAATTTCTAACCTCACTTAGAGAGGTGTACTCAATCATAATCACATTGCATGATACTTCAACTATGGATTCACATATCAATAGTTGAATATTTTTTTAAAAATATAGCATTACTATACATGATTTCGGGAGGGAGCATGGGATCACGTGAATTCGGTGACCTTTTCCTGGGTATGCTTATGTTTAGAATTATTTTTTGATAAAGTATTTTCCATAATTTACTTCTTTGCTTTTGGATAAACTATATGAAATTAGATTAGTTTAAAATTGAAGTTTTATTTGGATATGTAATGTTTTTTCATAAATATGTAAATTTACAAATTGTGAAAATTATCAAAAAATTTACTATTCTTATAAAAAAATCAGATGATCAAATCATAGTTCATAAATAAAAAAACCAAAATATCCTAAAGCACTACATTAATAAATGTCGTATCTCTTTTTTTTAATAAATAAATATTTACGATTATAAAATTCAAAATACACAATTTTATAAAGATTAGCTAATCAACAATTAATAATAACAATATAATTCTTTCGATGTAACAATTTCTTTCTCGTCGACTATGAATATAGGATATAATTTGTGTAAGACAAAGTGTATGGTATGTTCTCCACGGAAATATTTTCTTGAAAAATAAGTGAGTTTTTAATTTATTTTAAATATTTGGTAAGTAAGAAAGAAAATATTATCTCAAGAGCATTTAGGAATCGTTTGGAACACAAGTGTTTCATTTGCAAATGTTTCACAAATAAAACGCTCCTTAACAAAGATAATTTTGTATCCAAAAGGACTTGAACCAAAAATCACTAATTAAAAATGAATGAGTACTTACCCATTTACTCAACGTCAAAATCAATATAGTTATCTATAGGTATCAGTATTTCAATCTGTAGTTATACTATACATCTAATCTATCAAGAATAGGCCCAATGCCTCTATTGTACTCCATTTTATGAGGACAGAAATGGTGTTGCGTAGACATTTTCATAAAGAGTAATCTTGTGCTGGCCACTCCCACTATGCCTGGTAATTTTTATATATATTTTTTCATTCGGTATTCAAAATTCACATGAGACTCTGATTAATCTGGATTTGCGTCGTATAGAGGGCTCTTTTCGAAGGAAATGTCATGTCCTACCTCACGTCTTTTGGTGATCATTGTAATTTTATAGGAGCTATTAACACTTTTTATTTTATTTTAACTTAAATTTTTTTTATACATATTTAAATTGTTTTAAATATAAAAAAAAAGTACTCTTTTTTTTCTGAATAACTTAAATAGAAAAATGTGTTCCATAAAATGAATAGAGGAAATACCTTTTCTTGCAGCCCCCAAAGGGACTCATCTGTTTTCGAACACGGTTTGTTATAGTTTATTTGATCAAGTTTTTGGGAAATTAAAAGTGGTTATGTATTTAAAAAATTGAGGTATTTAACTAAGTTTTTAAAAGAAAATATGTATTTTTAAAAATATAAGGTGTTATTGGTTAAGATTTTGAGAAAAAAAAAAGTGTATATAAGTAATAACTAAGAGTTATTTTTCATAAATTAAAAAGTCGTTTATAAAAGTTTGTCTAAACAATTATCATGTGTGTTTTTAATTTATTGATCAAAAATAATTTATTTCTCATCAAAAAAAAAATTTCAAAATAAACTATGGTATAAAACAGATAAAAGGTAGTAGAATAGTGCAGTGGGGCGTGTGGCTGACATGTAAGGCCAAGCTATCTGCCACTGGAATGTTATCCTCTCCACATAATTTGCTGACATGAACACAAATTAAAGGCACACGCTACACCACACCACACCACATCCAAAACTAAAATTAAAAAATCATGGCATCTGCTGTTGTTGCTGGTGCTGCTTCCTCTTCTTGCTCTGTTTCTTACTCAAGAAATCTTAGCATCACCAAATCTAATTCCTCTATCCCATCTCTCAAGTCATCCACCACTCCATCCCAGGTATAATTCAATTCGTTATAGTCGAAGTCTGCGATCATCTCATTTAAAAACATAGTTTAAATTATTTATGTAGGGATAATAGCATGTTTAGTCCTTCAATTATGTGTAAATTCTGATTTTTGTCTATTTGAGTAAACACATTTGAGCTTTTTGATCATTTGGAATGTGTGTTTTTAGTATGTAGGGATCAGAAGTGCGTATTTCAATTAATTGAAGGTTAAATCTGCTTAATCTAATAGAATTACCAAAATGTGTTGTGTTATGTCTCAATAGTCGTCTTCACCTAGAGGCGGAACCATGATTTTCACGGGTTCAAACAAGTCGAAAGGAGTTCAACATCTACTATATATACATAAAAAGTAATTTTAACAATGTATAAATAATATAATTTTCCGTTAAAAGAGGTTTGAACCCCCAACCTTACCTGGCTCTATCCCTGCCTGGAGGCTTGATTTCTTTTCATGGTATAAACATGTCAAATTTGAACATCTTCTGATCAAAATACTTTACCTCTTCAGAAAACTAGTTTTCAAGGGCTATCATTACAAGAGGCCAAAAGGGGTGTTTCGAATACGTTCTTAGGCGCGGAGAGTAAGAGGAATGGTACTAGCAATGGTGGAAGTAGAGGCCTTGAGATTACTGCAAGAAAAGCAGCTGCTGCGAAGAATATCGAAGTTGAAGTTGATAAGCCATTGGGACTCACTTTAGGTCCAAAGCAAGGTGGTGGAGTTCTCATTACGGTTTGTAATTTGTTGTTCTCCATTATGTCGATTTATTTCGTTCTGTTTTAATGAGGCAATTACTAAAGAAATTCTCACAAGTTGTGGACTAGTAACTAGGTCTAATCAGCCTGTTTTTTGGTTGAACCATATTGTAGAGTGTAGACAAGTTATGGAACTAGGTGAACGCGAGGGGTTCAATTGAATCCCCTTAGGCAAAAAGAGATACTCCGCGACACAAATGACTTAATTTTTGGTTATAAAGAAATTGTTGAATCTCCTTAACATAAGAAAATGTTCTAGTGCAGTGATGAAGGGGTTCAAAAGTTGTTTTATGTCATAAATTAAAATCTCAGTGTGGCATTTTTGCATTTTTTTAGTCTCCTTGTTGGAATTATTGGCTCCACTATCGATTTTAGATCGACTAGTGAGTAGTGACATTTTATCCACGGACAATGTAAAACTGTTTTACACTACTGGTGCAAAAGTTGCCTAATACGAAATGAATTGTTGATGTTAAGAGCTTTTTTGTTGTTCTGTTTTGAATGAATTAGGGTATAGAGAATGGCGGTAATGCTGCAAGGGCAGGGCTTAAGGTTGGTGATCAAGTAGTCTACACAAGTAGCTTCTTCGGTGACGAACTGTGGCCAGCTGATAAGCTTGGATTTACGAAAACAGCCATACAGGCGAAGCCTGATTCTGTCTACTTCGTCATTAGCAGGTTAGCAAGTGAAACATTTTAATGATCTTATGAAATAAGACATCGCTACGTATGAGTAATGATGTCTTTATTAACAAAAGATGTGAGTTTAACATACTTCAATTGGTTGATATTTTGATGCAGAGGTGCTGATGTAGATGTTAAAAGATTGCCCAAGCGTCCTGCTCCTCCTCAATTTGGAAGGAAATTAACTGATGCTCAAAAGGCTAGTATTGATCTGTGCATCATTAAATTTGTATTTGCTTGATGTTCATCCTTTGTATTTGTTTCTTTGCGTAATCGTCTATAGTTCATTGTCTTCAGGTCAGAGCAACACACATTTGCCTCGACTGTGGTTACATATACACCTTGCCTAAGTCTTTCGATGAACAGGCAAGTTTCTGCACTCGACTTTATCTGTGTTCCAATACAAGCTTATAATTTCTTTTTTTGGGCTTCAGAAACTTGTTGAGATAATATCTCAAATGGTCACTCAACTATGAGCTCATAGTTGACTGACTCTGTGAGTCCATAGTTGAATGACTTTCTGAGATATTATCTCGGAACTTGTTAGACAATTTTGGATCTTCTGAAGTCTCTGCTTCTCCTTGTAATTGATGGCATTTTAACATTATAAACACTAGATCGAACATGATAATTTTATACAAAATAAGTAGATGGGCATACCAAATTGAGTCATGTCAGATTGACGTAGGATTAAGTTATTTCCACTCTACAACTCTTCCTCAAGATGACAACGTCAATGAGACAACAACCACAATCTCTTTTGTTTCAAGACAAATGGTGTGTTGATATAAAGAGTAGAGAGGGGACCTAATTGCAAATTAAAAAAACTAATGGCTCCGCCATATAGCCTACACTCACCACCTTACTAGATCCACCAAGCACATAGCGCCCTCTTTTTGGTATGTAGGTTCTACTTACAGGCTAACCTCTTGATTGCCTTTGTACTCCTACTTACTTTATGCCTGAGCGTTTGTATATTTACGTGCATAGACAAATAACGTTATAATTTGTTGCGTTTGTTGGATGCAGCCGGAGGACTATGCATGTCCACAATGCATAGCACCAAAGAAGAGGTTTGCAAGATATGATGTTAACACTGGGAGAGCAATTGGAGGAGGATTGCCACCAATTGGTGTCATTATTGGTCTCATTGCTGGTATTGGTGGTGTTGGAGCATTACTAGTTTATGGTCTTCAGTAACATCTTTTATCAATTCAAAATTTTCCTCATGATTTATTATACCTTTAAAAGTGTTACTTAAATGCTTGTGCTTATATAATTACACGTTCTTGAAATGAAGCTCAAGTGTGCATTTTTTTTTACAAGGGAGAGTAGAACTAACGAGTTGATGATACGTGTATCCAAATCAATCGATGTGTAAAGAAAACTTATTAATTTTCTAAAATATATATAATCAAGCATTTATATTCTTCATAATCATTGTCGTATTATGATCAATGATCAGAGGCGGATACATGGTTCAAAAGGCAAAATTGTCACATCCTAATGATATTTGATATTTCTACACCACGGTTCATCTCTTATTTTATTACTATAGTAGACTTGATAATACCGTTAAGCAATATTAATATGAATTGGTAAATATAAAATATTTGAATGATTATACGAAAAAAATTATCTAATGAAAGGGACATTTTTTTACTAGTAACACGACTATTATCACTTAAAAGTGGACTAATCATTTTACTTTAGTGAATTCCATCACGAAGACTGAAGAGTTCGCACTATTTTCATTACTTAATTTTTGCCTCTATTTTTGGCTTTTCCTTTCTTTCCCCTCTTTCATAACAGGCATACTCTCTTCTTAAACTTCCTATTTAAGTCAAACTCAGTACTTTTTACGAAAAGGTGGAAGTGTTTTTTACTCTTTTTGACTCTTATTTAGGAAAAAGGCGTTTAATTTGCCAACCCATTATCAGTAATTTTGTCTTGAAAAAATTTATGGTATATATTTTCACTAAACGACAATACACAGTCTCTCTGTGTGACGAACTCATCCAGTTTCTGTGCCACTGCCACTTTTAAAATTCACAAGCTTTACATTGCTTCCTCTCTACACTTTCCCCTTTTTCTTCTTTTCTGTTTGCTGCTCTTTTTTTACAGCGAAAAAGATCAGTTTTTGAGTGACACCAACAGTCTAAAACAAGAAAGAAAGAGTTGCTATGGAGAGAAAATCGATAATAATTTGTGGGGTTGTGGGATTTCTAGGGCTATTATCTGCCGTTACTGGTTTTGCTGCTGAGGCCACAAGGATTAAGGTAGTTCATTGTTTCCCTTTAAAGGAAAAACCCAAGATTCCATTTTTTTGTTGTGGGGTTTCTAATTTTTTTCTTTCTTTGTTTGTTTATGGTCGGGGAGGTTTAGTTCATTTGTTTAATCTGGAAAACTTGTATGGTTATACTGTGTTCTTTAATTTTTGTCAAATCTTTGGTTCAAATGAACTGAAAGGTTAATTTACTGTTATAATCTAAGACAAAGAATACTAATAGATGTAGGGTTAAATGAAGATTTCTTCAGTTCTTTGTCATTTGGCTCTTTTACTTTTGTGGTTATGAACAATGAACAACACAAATTCTATTCCTTTTAGTTTCATTATAATTCCAAGCTACTCCTACAGAAAAAAGAGAATTTTTTTGTTCTTGGACTATTAGGTGAGGTCAAATTTGAGCTGAAACTACATTCTGCCCTTGAGATGTTTGCTCCTAGTAAAACTTAGTGGTCATGTGATGGACAATGTAAGGGAACCCATCATCTCTAATTCAATTGTTAAAGACTGGATTCTTATCATCAAGTTTGCTCTCCTTTGGAGAAAAAACTTTTTGGGCTGAGTCTGGTCGTATTCAGCTGAGTTTCCATTGGAAACAACCTCTCTCTGCCTTCACAAGGTAGGGCAAGGCTGTGTACACATTACCCTCCCCATACTCCACTGTGTATGTTGTTGTTTGTCTGGGCGCATTCAGCTGAATTTGAATGGTTTCTGAATGTTAAGGCTTTGAGCATCTAGATATAGATAGATATATGCTCACCTTGGTGTCACTCTCACTCCATGATTTGGTTTCGTCCCTGCTGATCTTGGTTGCAGTTCCATATGATTGTTCCTTGAATCAGGGAATAGTATGTTTCACTTTAGTGGAGAAGATTTCAACTTATATTGGACAATGCAAGCAATATCTCACAACCTGCTGACTTTCTCCGCTGTCTCCTACAACATACCTGCCGGTGAGGTAGCTCAGGGGTAGGGAATGAATAGTTTCTAGGAGGTGAGTGGAGGAAATGTGCAAGTATATTGGCTTTCAGATCATAACACTCATTGCCCTGCTATCATTCATAAGTCATAACTGCATGGGAGTAGTTTTATGGGTGGGGTTTGGTGGATGGAGAGAGTGCGAATGGATTAAGAAAAAGAGACCTTTGATGGTAATTTGGTTGCATGCTAAATTCCATAGGATGATTACAGGATTTGAGTTACTTTCATTTCATGTTTGCTGTTGGGAATTTTGGTTCCGTAGAATATAGGGGTAAAGAGAGTTCATGTTTCCTGGTTTGCTCAGAGGGTCGTAGTGACTAATTTATAGTACTATCCAATTATTATTCTTCAGGGTTCTCAGGTCCAGGTTCCGACTCCTACAGAATGTGTATATCCAAGGAGTCCTGCACTGGGTCTTGGATTGACTGCTTCTGTGGCTCTTATAGTTGCTCAAATAATTATCAATGTAGCAAGTGGATGTGTCTGCTGCCGGAAAGGCCAACATCAATCAGCATCTAATTGGACGCTAGCGCTAATATGTTTTGTTGTATCCTGGTAAGTTGGTTATGGATTGATTATTAATTTCAAGTTCAGTAGTCATTATTGCAATACATTTAGATAAAAAGGAATATTCATTTGTTTCTCTGTATCCTTGTAATTAGATTCAAGTTCAGTTGGTCATCATTGCAGTGGATCAAATGGAGGTTGACCCTAATAACAGATAGTAATTGTTGTTCTATAGTTTCTGTGAGAATCTTGCATTGTATGTGTTGGGACGTCTTAGAAACCTTATATATATGCAGTCAAGGCAAAGTAGACGTTCATTATTCCTACATTCAGAAGTTGACTTATTCTGTGTTGTTGCCCCTTCAACATCACAACACTTTTTCTTCCTTTTTTCTGAGAAAGAAAAAAAGCACCCTTTGACATCAGATTAATTTAAACAAATCACTATTTTGTTTTTTCTGATCTGTCCTTTACAATGTCAAATCTTGACCAACGAATGAAAGTTGAACCTATTTTGTCTTGTATAGAAGGATGATAAGATATCTATCAATGTTCTTGAAGCCAATAAGTTGCCTTACAGCTGTAGTGCTGGCTCACATACTAGTAACGAATGCATGTGCAAACTTTTTTAGCAATTTTTGGAAGTATCATAATTTGAGAATGTGTTGTGACTTGTGGATATGAGTATTTAATAATGTTGGACTTTTACTCCTCTTTTAATGGATAGTAATTAATCCAAATATACGTTATCATTCTTATGACTTCACCAACCAATGGTACGTTTCTGGTCCTACAGATGCAATTTCCAGTGCACTGTGTTGAGGTGGTGATGTGCAAGGGGGATGGGCAGAAGCCTACTTCCTTTTGTCTCCCTTTTTTTATCCTCAGCCTATTCAAACTTCATGGAATGTAGTCCTTGTAGATTAACCTCTGCAGTATGTGATTCCAAAAATGTAGTCTAGCTGATGATGTTGGACCTCCAATTTTTGTATTGACCTTGAGATATCATTGCGCCTCAAATCAGAGTTTTTTCTTCTAATTTTGCATTTGTTTTGGGGGTCATATACATCGGAATATACTATCAGAAGTTATTTCTCTGGTGAACCAATTTGATCTTACATACCATCCGAAGAAGCCCTAATACAGGTCTACTTACCACTTATGCAGGTTTACATTTGTTATAGCATTTCTATTGTTGCTAACAGGCGCAGCACTGAATGATCAGCATGGTGATGAGAGCCTGTATTTCGGCAACTACTATTGCTATGTTGTAAAGCCTGGAGTATTTGCTGGAGCTGCTATCTTGTCCCTTGCCAGTGTTGCTCTTGGAATCACCTATTATCTTTCCTTGACATCTGCAAAGAACATCAACGATCCATGGCGTCCACCAGCTCCAAGTCAAGGTGGCATTGCAATGGGACACCCACAATTTCCTTCACAGACCAGTCAGGAGCCAGTTTTTGTGCATGAAGATACTTATATGAGACGCATATCTACATGATTGTCCCTAGACCCATATAAACATAAGGAATGGAGGTGTTAAGGGTGTAAGAATCGTCTTCTGTATGTGAAACACTCTCCTTTGTGAGCTATATCATACTATTTTTTTTGTTTTTTCATTTGCTATGGCAGTGATAGCTTAATTTTGTCGGAAATTTGTAGCCTGTAGCATGTATCTGGAGGTGATGTGTGTATGTAATCCAACAATGCAACATACTCTTGTATGAACTCTGTAGTTTCGAATAGCTATCATTAGTAATGGTTCTTGATCTAGTTTCACAGGGCTGGATTGTGAGGAAAGGAAAGCTGTCACTATTTGGCTTCACCTACTACTTGAACTTCAGAATTATTTTCCTGGACAATTGAATTTATGATTAGGAGGAATTTGAGTACTCTTAGAAATACAAAATGCTGAACACCTTCTTTAATTTGGAGCAAAAGCCCCATATTTTATATGCGAAATGATTACCTTAGAGCTGGGAACTGGTTTGAACAAATCACTTATGTAGATTGTTTGACCTTTAACAATATACCACAAGTATAGGAAAATGTTGTGGCATACAGAAAGTGACCTTTCCCTTCATAATAGTGACAATATAAGCCAGCTTTGCACATACTTCAATAAAAATGGTTTTTTTACTTTTCTACTTTTGGCCTCGGTTGTCCCATGGGCAAAAAAACTTCAAGGTCAAGAAGTTTTGTCTCTTGTTGTTGAAGGCCATGGGGTCGTTTAAGAGCACTACTATCAAAGTGACAGGTGTAATTCCTATTTTTTGAATGGCTGAGGGAGGATGAAAACTTTTTACTTTAGATAAGGTGAAGTTAAAAGAATATGCTTTCATGAAAAAGACATACTAAAAAAAAAGTTGGTTGTTAGCCTTTGCTCAGTGATGGTGACCTGTAAATAGATGTTTTACTAGTTTGGTTATATCCATGATGGGGACCTGTAATAAGAAGTTGGGAAAAAATTGGTAACTTGATGGGAGGGAAAAATATTATCAAAGGAGATAACAGTTTCAAAATAAATCATGTTGTATTGTATTGAGAAATACATATCATCATCAGAAAACTGTACAAGGGGATATGATATTCCTGGACAGGCCTTTTGTCACTATTGGTGTGCAGCCACTGTAATAGAATCAACAAATCAAACAAGGAGAAAAAAAGGATCTCTTTTTACATACAGTTGGTCTGGTCCAGGATACCAATATAGTTAATGAAATTAGAACTGAATTTACAATTGTCTTCTTCAGTCAGCAGTCTTTTGTTCCGGTATATATGTTCTTCAGTCAGTAGTCTTTTTGTTCCAGTAAATATGTATTAACAAGACTGTACAGAAATGTTCAGCATGCAATTTTCTATTGTCATTCAGCGAATACCACGGTTCAGGTGAGCGAATGGTTCAGGATTTGCCTTTGGTGCAGGTTTTGCTACTTCAGGAGTCCCAAATACATTCCAGAATCTGAGAGTTTCATCTCCAGCTGCAGATGCAACTGTGCAACCATCCGGACTCTGCAAAACGATAAACAAGAAAATGAATACCTTTGTATAAACACAACAATGATGCAAAAGATACAACAATGATGAAAATTTACCTGAGCCATGAAAAGTACTCTGGATGTGTGGCCAGTTAGCTCAGCTACCTTTACCATAGAAGGGTATTTCCAAAGGGTGAGCTGATTCTGAGTGAAACCATGAGAACTTAGCAGCTCACGTTCGTTCTTGTTCCACAGTAGGGAACACACCTGAGATCCTGTATCAATTGAGTTCAAGCAAGCACCAGTGTGGGTATTCCAGAACTTTATGCACCTGTCGCTTCCACCACCACCAGAGGCCAATAAGTTACCCTGGAAAGGGCACCAAGCAAGGGCTTTAACAGCAGCTGTATGGTCTTCCAGCCTGTGAAGCCATTGTGTTGTAGAGTTGGAAGAAGCCGTTGATCTGTCCCATATGTGGAGGAGGTTGTCATTCCCACCACTAGCTAATTGCTGGCCAGAGGCTGACCATTTTAGACCACAGACTTCTTGATGATGTCCTTGGTAAGTGTCAACAATGGGATTCCTTATTCTCACATCATTGTTTATGATTTGACCATCCATTCCCCCAGTTGTTAAAATGTGATTGTTCCAATCTAGAGCACCAACTCGAGATCTGTGACCGCCTTTCAAAGTTCTCAACTGCATCAAAGAATTAAAACATGTTAGCATATGAATATTTGTTTTTGTACTATGAAAAAACCAGAAGAATTAAGGAAACATACCAGTCGATTTGCTGTAGTATCCCAAAGCTGAACTTCAGAATTGTTAAGACCAACAGCAATATGTTGACCATCAGGAGCCCATTTAACACTTGTAACAGGGCCATTTTCTTCATCAACAGTGACTAGCTCTGAAGTAGCACCATCAGATGCATCCCACAGATACACAGTGCCGCCAAGAGCAATAGAAAGAACATTGCTTCTGCCCCAGTCTAACAAATTCAAATAGTAATCATCCATGATATCTGGAGCATCTAATGTCCTCTCAGAGGTCTGCATATAAAACAAATTGAACCTTTAAAAACTTTTCATCCAAAAAAGTTTGTGCAGATTGTGCTTCTTTGCAACAATTGGAATTTGGTCTAGGAAAATGCAACTACCTGAGGAATGTATCGACGGGGCTTTGCAGTTTTGTTCTGTTGAACAGAGGCAATCTCATTAGGAATGGCCTCAACAGGAGTTGGTGGTTTGTTCTTGAACGCCAGAATGCGAGTCCTGTTCATGTTGAAAGTTTCTGCAAGCTGCTTCCTGTATGCCTCTCTGGAGGGAGAGCTGACAGCTGGGTTTTCCTTACCTTTCCTTCCCTCTGTCAGCATGTAATGTGCATAGTCGAAATCCATCGCTGATCGATTTGGAATAAACCTATCCAACTGTTAAAAGACAACAAATCAACAGTTGGTGAGATATTCATGTTTCCATCTCCAAAGAAAGCGGGAAAACAGCTTCTGACAATCGAAAACCCCAGCCCCCGCCGTGTTCATGTTTCAGCCCCCATTCCACCCAAACCACCCACATAATTTGACACAAGGCAATAACAGAACAAGTCATATCAGTGATGCTCAATCAGATCAAAAGCAAAATTGGCAAATTATTGAAAACCCATATCCTCATTTTATCAAAATCCCCTTCATTGACAAGATGAATTCTTGAGATTCAGGGTAATCTTAGTAGCTTAGTTGGGGATAGCTACCTGAACTTTCACTTTATTAGTGAGAATTCAATTCCCCACCTCGTAATCCCCTCCCCCGCCCCCAATTCCCATCTAATCAAACACAATTAATGACTAATAGAGAGAATGACTCAGAGTTTAGAATGCATACATTATCACGAGAATTTTTACGTTGAAGAAGTTGTTCCTGAAGAGGGCAACGAGACTGTTTCTTATTTGATGAGCCAGAGTAAGATCCTGCATCCATTAGTTAGCACCCAAAAAAAAACACAAATATCGACAAGAACAAAGATAACAAACAAAAGAATCAAAATCCTTGATTAACGAACCCTGCAAAATCAAAATCAGATTATAGACAAACAAATTCAAATGAAACAGTTATAATTGCACAGAAAAATATAAATCACGAGATGAAATCGCTTGCTTGTTCGCTTGAGAAACTTAGAGAGAGATTGAGAGATAGAGAGAGAGAGATTGATGAAGTTCTTCTCAGTACATTGATGGATTTATACAAATTTCTTCAGAAGGTTTTGTCTGCGGTATGAGGATTCTAGGGTTTTGTCTCCAACGGCTATATTTCATTAGATTAGCCGTTGTAATTTAGTTATTTATTTGGACTAAATTGTCTATCCCCGTGGAGAGAGCACTCTGCATATATCTAGGGGTAGTTGGGTAATTTGATATTTATTTATGTTCGCACTGCTAAGTACTTGCACAAACACAATATTTACATCAAATTGAGTAATTTAATGAGAGAACACATTTTATTATTTATTCGCCATTAAGTATAAAATGTATTGAAGATATATATGTTTTGCATTCATTAATTTGGTATAAATAACAGGTGTAAATAGATTTTATTGTAATCCACCCTACAAGAAGGTCCATAACTGCTCTTAAATTTTTGTGACATGATTTAAATTTTCCCTATGTTAAAAGTTGGGTTAGATATACTCTTCGCCTTACAAGATTGATTCAAATATTTCCTTATTTATTAAGAATAAAACTTTGTAACACGATTATACCTCTGTGACAACGATGGTCAGAACTAGAAAGTTCTTTTTATAGTTATCGAAACTCGAGTTATCTGAATTGCCTATCGGCCTTCTTCTATTTGTCGTCGAGATGTAATCCAAGCAGGTTCAAGTGCCTGAAGAGCAAAAGAAGCTCACTATTCGGTGATAGCAACATCGTCTTCTTCCTCATACCTATGAATCTATACCCTAACTTCAAATAAACCACTCTCAAATCGAGCCACGAAATCTTCACCTCTATCGAAACTTCATCAATACAACTATAAAACAATGGCAAAAATGAAGGTGTGAGATATTGGGTGATTTTTGTGTATTTCTTACGTGAGTGTTGTTGGGGGTGAAGTGGTGGTGGGGTAACGGTTCTTCAAGTGATATCTGAAGAGTGAAGAAAATTTATTGATATGGGTATGATTGATTTAAAATAATGATGGTGGCTAAAATAAAATTGAAATCACACAATTTCATGTATATTATCTAGACCTTTTAGGATAGTTGAAGAGCAAATTTGAATGAATGGCACATCAAAAAAACAAAAAAGAAAAACGTCACGTCAAAAAAATATGTAATGAATAAAGAAGCGTGAATTATACAAACATAATGCATTGCCCGTTTGGGTAACACACTTATGTACATAACATTCCAAAGTACTAACAAATAAACTTATCACAAAAGAAGTACCTTCATAGCTGAATTTGAGCAACCCCATACCATGCTAAGGCAAGCTGGCGGATATTGCAGAGAAAAGGTGTATTTTTTTTCAGCAAGTAAGTTGCAGAGTTAAAGCCACCAAAGTTTGTGGCACCAAGTCATAGTATAGTTTCTGTTATACATGTACATTCATAATCTCATATATACGAAAAAGCACCTAAAACCTGTCTATCCAACCTCAGAGCACCACACGATCCCATGCCTTGAAAACTAAGGAGAAAAATTACATAAGGAAACCCAATATACAACTAAGTTAACATACTAAACAGAGTCCCAA